GTTCACATTGCGGGGAATCTCCTCCACACCTTCAGCAGAACCGTTGGAGCTGAGTGGATACAGAATGACTGGAGCGTTGTCGTTCTGATCCAGAACGAACACTTTTACTGTGACGTTGCTGCTCAAAGATGGAGTCCCAGAATCAGTGGCAAGAACTTGGAACTGAAACGTTTTTAAGATTTCAAAATCGAAACTTTTAAGTGCCAGAATTTCTCCAGTTTCAGAGTTAACATTCAGAAAAGATGTAACTATGTTTGATCTTTCTTTATCCCTTAATATAGAATACGAAATAACTGCATTACTCCCTTCATCATTATCACCTGCCGACACTGAAAAAATATTTTCTCCTGGGGTGTTATTTTCTCTTAGATAGAAAATATAGGGATTTCGATGGAATTCCGGGATGTTGTCATTTATGTCATTCACTAGGATTGGTATATTCTTTTCTGATGATAAAGATATTTCCCCTGCATCTTTTGCAATGACTAATACATCGTATTGAAATTCTTTTTCTCTGTCCAAAATTGATTTAGTTACAAGAGAATATACATTGTTTTCCAAAGGCGTTAGTATAAATGGGAGGTCTTTGTTTATGTAACACATAACTTTGCCGTTTAGACCAGAATCAACATCTTTTAAACTAATCAACGCCACTGTTGTCCCTGGTTTCGAATCTTCTGGAAGTGCATGATAAAATGATGTCACTTCAATCTCTGGTTCATTATCGTTCATATCGACCAAATTAATGACAACAGTTTTATCTGTTTTTAATGTCGCTGCGCCTTTGTCAGATGCCTGGACATCAATTTCATATCGGCTACATTCTTCGAAATCTAGCGTTCCAGTCACAACAATAACACCAGTCACAGAATTTAAACCAAAACGTGCATGTACCTGTGTATCTAAGTGACTGCCAAATGAATATATTACCTCCCCATTTGAACCCTCATCTAAATCTGTTGCATTAATTTGGATCACAGTCGTCCCAACAGGAGAATTTTCTTTTAGCGAAATAGTATATATTTCCTGACTGAAAACTGGTGGATTATCATTAACATCGGAAACTTTAACAACTATTGTCATGTTACCAGATTTTGGAGGCTTGCCTCCATCTAATGCTGTCAGAAGCAATATATGGGTTTCAACCGATTCCCTGTCAAGTGGTTTTTCAAGAACCAGTATGGGTGTTTTACGATCCTCCCCTCGATCTTTCACCTCTAAACGAAAATGTTCGTTGTTACTTAACTTATACTGCTGAACGGATAACAAACCACTGTCCGCATCACGTGCATCCTGCAGTTGGAATTTTGCTCCTCGCAAAGCAGATTCAAAAATTTCCAACACGCTTTCATTATGAGGGAAGAATGGTGCGTGATCATTTACATCCATAATCTCCACACTGATGTGGTGAATTTCTAGCGGGTTTTGAAGCACCGCTTTTAAATTAAGCACGCAAGCCTTGCTTCTATCGCACATTTCTTCTCGGTCAATTTTACGGTCCACATACAAGACACCTTCATTTTGGTTTACCATAAAAGGCGGCTCCGTCGATCCGTAAACAATACGTATAGTCCTCTCTCTCATCGTATTCTTATCAATGCCCAAATCCTTTGCGATATAGCCCACAATTGTTCCTTCTTGAACTTCCTCGAAAACAGAATAACGAAATTGTGCCGAGGAACAGCTCCAAAATTGCACTACAATCATCGTGAATGTAATCCATTGTATCCAGCCTCTCCATGTCTGAGGTCGCCTTTGTTTCATGTTGAAAAGATGGGAAAATTAAACAAAAATAAAATCAGCTTTGCAAGAAGCTCTTCTATGCTGACAGAGTTCCACACAGGGTTAAAACAACAACAAACGCTTTTATCTCCTAACATGGGTAAGATTTTTAATGAAAACAGGATCGTACTCAAAGCGAAGGTTTTTTTTTCCTTGGGAGAGGGAGGGGATTTATAGAAAATCACGGGTAAAAAAATATTACTTATCATTATACTGACCCCAAGTGATTTTTTTAGGAAACTGCACCTGCTTATGAAAATTGGTAAATGTAACTAAAAGTTAGATTTGTCTCCAAACTATATGCATCAACGAGTAAGACAACTATGGTTCCTCATTGGATTCCAATATTATAGAACATCTTTGCAAAAAGAAGACATTATATGTGCTAAAACTTTTCAAGTTATATGAAAATGTCTTCAATTTGAAGACATTTTTATATAACTTGAATTCTCATCTGAGCTGAATAATAAGTACTCTCACCGATGAATGTATTTACATAACAGGTAAATTATTTTCAGAGCAGGATAAGGAAAGAAAAGTCTATGACAAATACTTCATAAACAACCATTCATCCATTCCTCCATTTTCTTCTGCCTATCCGGGGCGGATCACGGAGGCAGCAGCAAAGATGCCTAGACTTCCTGATCCTTCATAAACAACAATACTTAACTGGTAAAACAAACAACAACCAAAACGTTCTGCCTGAAACTGCATGTATTACCAATACAATCTAGAAATAAATAAATAAAAAGTTTATGGATCCCTAATTTTAGTAGGTAAATAAGCTGATTTGTCAATAAAGTGAGTATTTATGTATTCTTAAAATATGATAATTAGATAATATGCACTTGAAGTAAGACAATGCCATTGTTTGTTCTTATTTTAAATGTAAATTGTCTTATTCCATTGGCAAAGGCTCTTACTCACCTCCTCAATTCAAGAAAAAAAATGTACTTATTTAAAAAAAAGACTTATTTTGATTTAAATTTTTTCCAATGTGAAAATGTATTTTAAACATCCTAAAATCATGATAGAGAAAAACAATTACTATTGAAAATCTTAGAAGAAGGTGATCATAACCACAAAAACAGCTCATTAACTCTCCAACCATAAAACACTCATGTTAACAGACAAAATATAGCAAACTAACATGTATTAATGTCATGTATGAAACTATATGTGTTATCGACCGATAATTAAACTAGTAATAACTGTTCATCTTACCCCTTCAGATGTTCTCCTGTCAGGTAACACTAGTGTATTTGCGTGGCTTCCTGGTGCAATAGTCGATCCAATACTCATCCTAGGTCCAACCAACATGTACCGCTTGTCTCCCGATCTGTACTGAATGCTGTGACACAGTGTCCCATCATAATTAGTCTCTTGGAGATATTTAGAAGTATAGTCTGTGGATTTGGAGCACTGCATTGCAATCAGCACAATGATACTGATGATAAACAGAACAGAAACTGCACCCAAAGTGATCATCAGGTAAAATGTTGAATGATCCTCATCATCTTCCCTTGCTGCAGTTTTAACATCAGAAGCTGCAAATGCTTCTTTTGGCTCCACAAGTTTAACGAACACAGTAGCTGTTGCTGAGAGAGAAACATTGCCATTGTCTTTG